TTTTCACCATCCTTTTTTCAAGGAGGTCTTTGTTTTAGCTCTTCTCTGATCATTGAACTCATACCCCCTTTTCTCCTGGAGAATATTCTCACCTCCCCTGGCTGACCTTCCCTGTTCCTGTGAGTTATGCATGACCCAGTGCGGGTAGCTTCTCTGCAGCAGCCCAGAATCCAGCAGAAAGGGAGCTGAGCAGAGTTTGGGGGAATCGTTTCCCTGGGTCTCTGGTTTTCAACAATGGTGGAGTCAGTGGGATGGTGGGCGGGGACTTCTGTGGCTGTCACTCCAGGAGGAAGCAGCACCTGCATAGAAGTCAGGATTCTGAGCTTGAGAAGACAGACTGTCTGTAGGCTCTTTGGAGACATTAAGGGGGCAGTGGTGTCAAACCTATGGCATGTGTGCCACAGCAGACCATTTGCATCATCAAAAGCTCTAAAAAGTTCACCACCAGTGCCAGGGATTTAGCTTAGCAGCATGATTAAGCACATGGTTGTGAGTTCAATCCCGGGTACAAAAAAAAGGAAAAAAAAAAAAAAGTTCATCACCACTGCCCTAGGCATTGTCTGACTCTGCAAGCTGCTATAACAAAAGAGCCCAGACTGGGTAATTTATAAACAACAGCTGTTTATTGATGAAGTTTTGGAGGCTGAAAGTCCAAGGTTAGGTCCCAGGAAGATCAGCGTCCAGTGACAGCCTGTTCTTGGAGCTGGTACCTTCTCACTGTGGCCTCACCGACAGAAGGTAGCAGGGAAGCTTGTACGTTTATCAGTGCCTTTTAATCTCATTCATAAGGGTGGAGCCCTCACCACTGTCATGTTGGGTACTGGTTCCCAATCTATGGAGGGAAGTGATGTTCAGACCCTAGTGGGCCTCTGTCTCCCTGTTTCAGAATGAACATGGGGCCTGGGTCTTGTCAACCCATCTTGTACTAGTCAGGAAACACGGATACCAGTTCACAGTCTTCTGTCCTAATTGGAGGATTTCTGTCATATGATGCATCTATACCAGTCCTCAGGGTACCCCCACAGCAGTAAAGGTGGCATACTAACTACAGCGATCCCTGCATCTCCAGGCTTATGGTGCCACAATTTATAATAGCCAAGCTATGGGCCCAGCCTAGGTGCCCATCACAGATGAATGGATGAAGAAAGTGTTATATTTAGACACCGTGGAGTATTATTTGCCATAAGGAAGAACAAAGTTCTGCTATTTGCAAGAAAATGGGTGGATCTGGGGACCATCCTGTTGAACAAAATAAGCCACACTCAAAAAGCAAAACCCTGAGTGATCTCCCAAAAGAGATGACGGAAACTAGGAGAGAGGCTGTTGTTACACCTGAAGAAGGGAGTAAGAGGAGGTGAGCAGAAGGGCAGGTGATGGGGGAGTAGAGGTGAGCAAAATATGTACCCTGACATGCTCCAAAGAGCTGTGAAATTGGGGAACAAGCAGGGCAGGGGGAATAGGGAGAGGCAGTGAACAGAGCATGTTATGTGCATACATAAACCTGCCAAAATGAAACCCGTGGCTGTGTTTTCAAAAGAATTAGAGGGGCTGGGGATTTATCTTAGTGGCGTGAGCACTCCCCTGGTAAGCACAAGGTCATGAGTTTGATCCCCGATTCCCAGTTTAGCCCCACACAGGAAGGGGACATGGAAGCCTAGCCAAGTGACATGGTGCGACCCTGCCCCTCAGTGTCAGGGATCTCCTGCTCCTCCAGACTCACTTTTCATGGAGCCTCCCACTCGTCTTGGCAACATCAGGGCACCAGAAATAAGAAAGCAAATGGAGCTCTGTAGGGGTCCAGCCTAAGAGGGGGCACTGATATAAGGCTGAGTGGGCAGGAGAACTTGTCTTAGTGGTAACCTATGACCATGTAATAACGTCAATCATAAAGGGTCTTTTGTGTGCCCTCCAGTGTGTGCCCTCTTGGGTCAGTCTAATGAAATACCCAAAGGAAGCTGCTGCTTGCAGAAAAAAGGTTTCTTTTGACTATCAGTTGTAGAAGTTCACAGTGGATGGGCCACATCCCATGGTGGCCTCATTGGCAGACTTCTGAGCCAGTGCAAGGCATCAGGTGGAGAAGATCAGCCCACCATGTGCACCTGTCCTTCTCTAAAGCCACCAGGTCCCTGTCCTAGGTCTCTACTCTGTGACTCTGCTACTAATCAGAGGCCCTACCTCCCAACACCCTGAGCCTCTGAGGTTTGGGAAAGAAGTTTGCATGGTGCCACTAACTGTAGAATTAATAGCAGCTACCATGTTGCTTTATTAGATAAGTATGGGCTGCATATTTGATGCATTCTTTAAGACCAGGCAATGGGGGAGGAACAGTGGGTGGGTAGGGAAGAGGGAGTGGAGAAGAGTAAAGACCTCAATGGAGGAAGCAGAGTGCAGGGCGGTCAGCTCCTTCATGGAGGAACATTGCCCTCAAGTGGGCATCTCAGTTATTGCGGAGAGTGTGTGTGTGCATGTTGTGTCTGTTTTTGCAGAGGGTTTTTCGTGTGTGTATTTGTTATCACAAGGGTATGTGTGTTATTGCAGAGGGATATGCATGTGTGTGTCCATATTTGCAGAGGGCGGTGTGCACCCATCTGTTATTGCAGAGAGGGGTCTGTGTTATTGCAGGTGTGCATGTCCAGTATTGCAGAAGGGTGTGTGTGTGTGTGTGTGTGTGTGGTATTGCAGAGAGGTGTGCATGTGTGTATCTGTTATTGCAGAGTGGTTGCAGAGGAGCATGTGTGTTATTGCAGAGGAGTGTGCATATGTGTCCATTATTACAGAGGGGTGTGTGGTTGTGTTATTGCAGAAGAGGATGCATGTGTCTGTCCATTATCAAAGAGGAATGTGTGTTATCACAGAAGAGGCTGTGTGTTATTGCAGAGGGGTTTGTGTGTCTGTAAGTGCAGAAGGGTATGCACGTGTGTGTCCATTTTGTAGAGGGGTGTGCACATGTGGTCTGTTCTTGCAGAGAGGTGTAGTGTTATTGCAAAGAGGTATGCATGTTTGTGTCTGTTACTGAAGAGGGGTGCATGTGTTGTTGCAGAGGGGTATGCATGTGTGTGTGTATGTTCTTGCAAAGGGTGTGTGTATCATTGCAGAGGAGTGTTCGTGTGTGTGTCCAGTACTGCAGAGGAGTGTGTGTGCATATGTGTCCATTATTGCAGAGGGGGATGCGTGTATGTGTCTGTTCTTGCAGAAGGTGTATGTATCATTGCAGAGGGATGTTCATGTGTGTGTGTCTAGTACTGCAGAGGGGTGTGCATATCTGTGTCAGTTATTGCAGAGGGATATGTGTGTGTGTGTCCAATATTGAAGAGGGTTGTATGTCAGTGTGTGCATGTGTATGCATCTCTTATTGTAGAACAGGGGGGCTGTGTGTGTGCATGTGTGATCTGAGGAGACCCCAGCCATCAGCGGTCCCATTGTGCTGACTGGAAGGGAAGCAGATGCCTGGCAGCAGCAGCAGCTCCAACTTCCAGCCCCCAGGATAACATTCCGAGCCTGAGCTTAGAGGTGCTGCCTTCACCAGAGAGCAAAGGACCCTAACCCAAAATTCCAAGCACAGTGTCAGATGTTTGCTCCCCATCAGGGGAAACTGAAGAGTGTAATAGTTTAAGGCCATGCCACAGGGTGTCTTTGCCCCCTTCTATCTCTGGCCAGGCAGCTGAGTATGGGGGGTCCATGCTACTCCCTACCAGAGCTCCTCCCCCAGGCCTCTGTTTCCCAAGGATACTGATCCCCCATCACCTCTAGGTTGTTGTGACCTAGCTCCAAGAGATTCGATGCCCCTCAGGCTGGTGCTGCCTTTTAGACCCTGACAAAAGGTTCTGGATCATTCCCAGTTCCCTCTGCTCTCTCCTGGCACCCCCTCCAGTGCCGCTAGGCAGCCCCCATTACCAAGGCGTTTTGTTTTTGAACATTCTTTCAAGTGCTGCCTTCATCCAAAGCTTATCTGGCAATGTCTGAGAATTTGTAATCATTTCATTTAGTAGCAGCTTCCCACACAGGCAGTGAGAAATGAAATGAGAAGGGAGGTGGAGAGTCAGCAGAGGACTGGGGCATAGCCCAAAGGCAGAACACTTGCCTAACATAGTTCACTGCAGGTGTAGCCCTGGCGTCCTTCCCCCATGCTGGGAAAAAATAAAAACAAAAGGAAGAATTCCTGAAAGTGACTCATTATCACCTTGGCCATCTCAGAGCTTTGCTTTTTCCACTGAGATTTTAAACTGATCTGAACTGGGGCCTGTGACTACCTGCAGTTGAGTTTGTGTGACAGACATTGAATTAGAGCATTCAGGGCAAACTTGCCAAATTTGCTTTTTAATATAGATAGCCCCAGGGTAGAATGCTTCAACTCGAGATTTTTCATGGTGATGCAAAAGTGATAGGAGTCCTGGAGACACTTTACTGCACATGCCAAGTTGGGATCTTTTCCCAGGGTTTGAAGTAGGCAGATGATCTGTGCTGATGACAGAGCTATGTGATCACTTGAGGAAAGAACCATCCCTCTATGGTGTGCTGTGTTGATGGCATTTTTTGGATATTATGATTTTTGTCTTTGTATCTACAAAATGCCCATCTGTTAGCTTTCTGTTACTGTAACAAGGTATATGAGACAGCCAGCTTATAGTGAAGAAAAGTTTATGTGAGCTCCTGGTTTCCAAGGTTTCAGTCTCTGGTCACTTGGCCCTGGAGTCTTTGGGCTGGCTATGAGCAGAGCATAATGGCAGCTGCATGAGGTAGAACAGTATGGCTTACCTCAGAGTAGACAGGAAGCCAAGAAAGAAACAGGAAGGGGCTGAATCCCAAAACCCTTGGTCTTGTACTTCCCTCTCTCTGCTTGCTTGACTCCAAATCGTAAGCCCCTCATAGCCATAGCCTATCTGTTAATTAAGCATGGTTAAAACCCATGGTGCTATCACAGCACTTTGGTGCTGGCAACTCCTCACCTCCCCACCTCCCCCACTCGGCCGTCAGTCGCCTTGTCTCTTGTCACCCTGCAGGTTTCTCCCACTCAGCCTTCACATTTGGGATTGAGAGCCACATCAGCCAGTCCAACATCAATGGGACACTAGTGCCACCAGCTGCCCTCATCTCCATCCTGCAGAAGGGCCTGCAGTATGTGGAGGCTGAGATCAGCATCAACGAGGTACGTGGACCCCACACCTGCACCAGGTGACCTTTGTGTCAGAGTATGCCAAGAGATGATTTCTGTGACTGTGCTTGTGGTGTGGAAGAGGGAGGGGTTGGCGTGATGGCTAAAAATCCCACTGATTCACTCGTGGCTTCTTCTGCCTTTACCATTGGTCCTTTGAGAAGTGTCCTACTTTCATACCAGATTCCAACATTGTCTGAGGTCTGAGAATGCCCCCTCTTACCCTTGCCTCTACACCCAGAGCTCTGCCTGTGACAAGAGTCCCTCAGCATCTTCCTCTGACCCTTTATCTTGGGTCCGTGCTGCCCAGCCCTTTCTTCTGCCCGTCTTTCTCCTCTCACGACCCAAGCACATAGTTCCACCTCAGGCCTGACAATATATGCCATTGTTTTCTGTCTTGGGTCCTTCTACCATCCTCCACAAACTGCGCTCTTAGCATGTGTCATGTTGCCACCTCCCTCACACTCTTCTGCCTTTTCTTCACGTTGGACGCCTTAGGCTTTTCCACCAGTCCTGTCAAGGCCCTGTCTCATCTCTTTATCCTTAAGAAAAACAAGTGTCAGATTCCCTGCTGGCTCCCAGATTCCCCCAGTACTCATGACTTGGTGTCCCTCTGCCTATGCACTCACTTCCATCTCTTTCATCTGCATAGATGTGTTCACAATGACAAGGTCCCCAATCCAGAGGCTGCTCTGTCTAGAGGCAAATGAAAGATGTCTCATCTCAAGTCACTCAGAGAGGGAGGGAGAAAGAGAGAGAGAGAGCGCCAGGCTGACAGAGACAATGTGCTTCAGACTTTAAATGAAGTGCTTCTACTGCATGACTGCCTTCTGGGACATGGCTGCCCATTGGAATGGCACTGTATCAGAGAGGAAGGAGATAGGGAAACTGTTTGCCTTGACTGTTTGCCCCGGCCACTTCATGGCCAGAATCCGGGAGACAGGGCAGTGAGGAGGTGATGATACTGTATTGCTCTGTAGTGTTTTATCTCAAATATCTTAGTGTGGAATTAGCTGGGCAACACTTTGTTTAGACACTGTTCCACTAAAACTTCTGCCCCTGGGTTCTTCCTCATTGCCGAGGTAGCTTAGATTTGGAGCACGCACATCCACGTGTTCACACACTAGCCAGACTCAGCTGTCAGGCAAGCCGAGTTCCACTCTAGATTGGGAGCACTTCCCAAGAAAGGAACTTCCCCCTGCATTTTTTTTTTTTTAACTAGGCAGGCACTTATGCCATTGAGCTAAATCCCCAGCCCAGTGCCTCCTGCATTTTTAAGCGTGTGTGGAAATGCTTTCATGGTAGGTGGGAAGCAGAAAAGCAAAGGGTGCTTACAAAGGTAGGAATTTCTCTGTCGGTTGAAGGAGGGCTGTATTTGATCCATACATGGAATCCAGGAAGTCAAGTAGCAAGGAGGTGCTTGTTTTATTAAATCAGACGTGCCAGGCATCTACCTCTGAATGTTGTAGTCGCCTCTGACTTATGTTGGGTGATTCCAAAGCGTCCCTCTCCCACATAAGTGGCGGGGGTTTGGGGCGTTTGGGGCATTTGGGGCTGGTGATTGTCTGCTCAGAGTAACACCCATCCTGTGCATTCAGGGGGCCATGCAGCATTGCCGGCCTCCACCCACTAGGTGGCAGTAGAGCCCAGTGACTCCAGCCTTGGAGCCGTGGCTCTCCTACGGGAAGGCAAACCCACCCATACTGGAGCACAGCTACGTCGCGTGGCGGTTTCCATCGCGGGGTAATGTGGTAGTGTTCAGATGTCCGTAAGTCTAGATTCGGCCGATATTTATGCAGTGCTCGGTCCCCTGTGCCGCCCTGTAGTTCACCCATCCTTCGTGTCCTTTCCTCCCGCTCCCAGCGCACTCACGGCCTGGCCTGCTTGCTTTCCCAGGATGGCACGGTGTTTGACGGCCGCCCCATAGAGTCCCTGTCCCTGATCGACGCGGTGATGCCCGACGTGGTGCAGACGCGGCAGCAGGCGTTCCGGGAGAAACTCGCTCAGCAGCAGGCCAGTGCCTCAGCGGCCGCGGCGGCGGCTACAGCACCAGCAGTAGCAACTACCGCAACAGCCACGACAGCGCCAGCAGCTGCTTCTCAGCAGAACCCTCCGAAGAACGGAGAGGCCACGATGAACGGGGAAGAGAACGGAGCGCATGCAATCAGTGAGTGTGGGTCCTGGGGCTGCTGGGTTCCTGTGGCCCGTGGATCTCTACCACATCCGGGCACATCTGAAGGACTTTAGATAGCCCGCTCTCTGGGTCTCCAAAGCCATGTCTGAAAGTTTGCTTCCAAAGAGACCTGAAAGCGCCTGGCAGTCTATCTGTTTCATCACAGACCTTAGGCTTGAGGTCTTATGTGTCCTTGGTTGTAGGAAGTGTCACTGCTTTGGGAGCTGCAAGGTCCTGGAGGCCTTTCCTCCACGAGCCTCCCACGCTGAGGGTGGTCAGCCACGGTGTGAGAAGATAGTGAACCTCACGGTGACTTTGAGGATGCAGTACCCCCCACACCCCACCCCAGCCCCGGGCACAGGGCAGTACCCTACCTGGTCTTTTAAAGCCCAGGAGATTAGTCCCCTTTGGGTAATTGCCAGAGAATATTTGGCAGATATTAGAGAGCGTGAATTCCTGCCCATGCCCTCCTTTGACTCCTGGGTTTGTAGACATCAAGGGACTCTGCTTGAACTCTAAATTCAAAGCATAGGTATACAGTGTGTGTGTGCACATGAGCTCTGTGTGTGTGGGAGTGCATGTGGTCCATGTGTACATGTGTGTGCATGTGTATGTGTGCACGTGTGTGGCTGTGTGTGTTCTTCTTTCTTTGGAAATTATTTCCCTCCAAGCACCCAGTCAGCCCCAGCAGCCAGTCAAGAAGATTGGCATTAACCGGGCATGGTGGTTCACACCTGTAATCCCTGCACTCTAGAGGCAGGAGGATTGCTGCAGATTTGAGGCCAGCCTGACCTACATAGTGATTTCAGGGGCAGCCTGAACTATACAGCAAGCCCTCGTCTCAAAAAAAAAAAAAAAAGAAGAAGATTTGCACTGGCACCATACTCCAGTGGTCCCATCTCCATGGCCTACTCATCTGCAGAGAGCCAACTAGTCATTCCTGATATGGCTGTGGCCCATAGCTGAGCCCTGTAGGTAGTGGTCAGTGGTCAGTCACAGGCCCAAGCAAGTGAGCTCTGAAAGTCTGTTTCTCCAGTTCCAAAACCAGACCAAAGATCACAGATTGTCCAGTTGTTTACAAGCCAGGTGACGTAAAGGCCATCTGCCTAGCCCAGAAATAAAAAGACCCCAGTCTGAGGTCTTTAATATTCAATCCATATTTAATCAGTATTCATATGACCCAAGAATTCTGGAGCAGAGACAGAACCTGGCTTGTCCCAAAAGGTCATCTATTGACTGTCCACTGATACAGGTGCAATCCTCAAGTTACCCAGAAGCAACTAGCTATAGTCATTTTTGCCATCTCCCATCATAGAAAATCACTTGTAATTGGTGAGCTCTGAGAAATCAGTGCAGAAGAGTTTCTGCAAACGTTTGAACTCAGCAGTTTCACTCATATGTTAAGAAACCATGGGTCAGTGTTCTTGTGGGCACTGACTGAGCCGGGCAGTTCAGAGAGAGTGTGTGCCTCAAAGCCCTCCACAGCTTGTGGGCTTGTGGGTCTTGGTTGTGAGACCTGAGGGCCGGCTCGCTTCTGAGGTGTCTGAGGTGTCTATGCATGTGTTTGCTTTTACCTCCCAGACACCTCTGTAAAGATGCCATCTCTGTATAATCACTTCCTGAGTCCTGCAGTCAAGACTTTGCTATGCAACTCTGGAGGGGATACCATGCAGCCCACAGAGCAGCCAAAGGCAGATCATAGATATGAAAGTGGCCATGCCACACCTCTGCCTATAGAAACAGTCAGCAATGAACCATACTCTCCACTGAGGTTGCTGCCCCAGCTCTAAACGATAAGTAACTGCTTCCTCCTCAGTGAAATTGAAAGCCTGGCTGTATTTGTGTGCTATTGCTGTGGTGGAATGCCTGGAATGGCTGTTTTATAAAGGAATTATAGCTACCGAGGTCATAGTTTTGGAAGCTGAAAGTCCAGGCAGCATTAGATTAGTTGTGGCCACCTGGGCATCATCTGAGGTCTGGGGGAACATGTGTGAGGGAGAATGCCCACGGTGGAACCAGAAGTCTGAGCAGACTAGGTGGGGCCAGAGATGACATTCCACTGGGTGTCACCTCTTACAGGGGCCACCATCTTGTTGCATCCCCACAGTGAGGCACCCTGCTTGCAGCTCGTGAAGCCTAGGCTCTGATCAGACCCAGGCTACAGTGCTGCCAATCTAGAAAGAACCCAGGCACCCACTGCACAGCAGCCACAGTCAGTGAGGCCCTGGGGGCAGCGCTGCCCCGAAACGTAAAGGCAAGGATTGCTCGGGTAGTTCTGCAGGCTCCTTCTTGCGAGCATCATTGTGTGTCTCTGTGCCTCTGTGACAGACAACCACTCAAAGCCCATGGAGATAGATGGGGACATTGAAATTCCTCCCAGCAAAGCCACCGTCCTTCGGGGCCACGAGTCCGAGGTGTTCATTTGTGCCTGGAATCCTGTCAGCGACCTACTAGCCTCTGGGTAAGGACTTCAGTTCAGGGGGTCCTCCAGGGTCCTGAGTGGTAATAGAATGCACTATGTGCACTGGCTATTGTGCACTGTGGCAAGCCTTGTGCCAGGCTGTGCTGCTGTGAGCGGGTACATGCAAAGTGGTCTGAAGGCATTCAGGTCCAGGATGGCAAGGAGGGACTGTGGTGAGCTGGCAAGATGGAGAGGACACTGTGCCACCATGCTGAAGGAGGCATCCTGGCTCAAGGGCGAACCTCCCTGACCTCTGCTGGTTCCACTTTGCCAGTTCTGGTGCTCATGCCAGGGTGCAGCCCACTGTTTCTCCTTCTGCAGGTCCGGTGATTCCACCGCTCGGATATGGAACCTCAATGAGAACAGCAGTGAGGGCTCCATGCAGCTCGTGCTGAGGCACTGTATCCGAGAGGGAGGCCACGACGTCCCGAGCAACAAGGATGTCACCTCACTGGACTGGAATGTAAGCAACTTCCGCCCCTGAGACAACACCAGGCACACACATACACAGAGACAGACTGATACAAAGGTGATGGGTACTCCCAGAATCCCAGCTATGCCGGAGGCTAAGGCAGCATGGTCACATGTAGGAGCTCAGCCTGGGCAATGTAGCAAAATCCTGTCTCAAAATAATATGTTGAAATGGCCAGGGGTGCAGCTCTGAGTTCCTCCCCCTATGCTGGAGGGGTAGCGGGATATATATACGGGGATGACTCCTGTGTTTAGCTGCCACCCCAGCATGCTGGTACAGGGTCCCCGATTCCAGGCATTTGTGAGGAAACTGTGCAGTCAGGCAGCAGGCTGGGCGCTAGAAGGCCACCCCTTTCCATGGGGGGATAGTGGGGGAGCCCTGCAATAGGAAGCGGGCCTCCCTAAGATCATGCACCTGGGGAGATCCTGAAGTGTTTCATGTCTCCTTATGGCCCCCAGAGCGATGGGACACTGCTGGCTACAGGTTCCTACGACGGTTTTGCGAGAATATGGACAGAAGATGGTAAGTCCTGAGTCCCTTGTGCTGGGTCCAAGAAGAGGGCCCTCCGCCTGTGAGCAGTTGGTAATTCTGAGGTGTCTATGCATGTGTTTGCTTTAACCTCCCAGGTAACTTGGCTAGCACCTTAGGCCAGCATAAAGGACCTATCTTTGCCTTGAAGTGGAACAAGAAGGGGAATTACATTTTGAGTGCTGGTGTAGACAAAGTGAGTATCAGCTTACAATACATTGCTTTGATCTGTAGCTGCTTATTTGTCTGTAGTTGCATGATGTATTTGAATTCTCAGGCTTTCTGCTTCCCCTAAAGATATCAAAAGGGCTTGTTTAGGCTCTGTTTGTGTTTGAGGTCCGGATCTTCCCTTTAATTTATAACACAGCATGTCATAATACAGTGTTGTTTTATAAGCCTAGTGTAGGGCTTGCCCTTCTTTTTAAGGAACATCTTTCAGGAAAATCTCCGCGTTGCACACCTTCATGCCTGCAAGGAGAAATTGGGATGAGGCACACCCTTGGCCGCCTTTTACCCCCTGAGCTATTTAAGTAATGAGCACTGACTTTTTGTCACCCACTTCCTGCTTTCTTCTCCATTCTTCTGCAGTTCCTTTATAAACTGCCACTTTCCTTTATAGACAGCAGACTTCTGAGAGATTCAGGTACCACGGTAGACTCCCTGATGACTCCTGGAGTCCTTGTAGAATCCCTTGCTGTGTCCCTGGGCAGTGCTGCTAGGTACATGCAGTGGGCTCATATCCACATGCATCTGGAGGACCAAGTGTATGGAGATAAGCCCAAGTTTGATGTACCAAATCATCTCATCCTCTCTGGGCCTGTTTCCCCAGTTGTCAGGTGACAGGCTGACTGGAGTTGTGACCCTCATACCTAGGAATCATGACTAATACTGCATGAATTAGTCAACTTTTCAGAGCTGTGACCAAAATCAGTGAAGAAGAGGAGAGGTTTAGTTTGGCTCATGGTTTCAGAGGGTGCAGTTCCCTGATTGGCTGGCTCCAGCCAGCAGGTAGAAATATTTGGTGGAAGGGCATGGTGGAAACAGCTGTCATGGTTTATGTTAAGCAGAGAGAAAGGGAAACATTCAGAAAGGGGGGGTCAAGAACAAGATATACCTTTCCAGTACATATCCGTAGTGACCTTCTTCCTCTTCCAGGCTGAAACTCCTAACCATTTCCCGTGACTCTTTAGTGCACTGATGGATGGATGAGGCTGGCACTCCTTCCAGAAGCACCCCTCTGAATACATTAGCCTTTGGGGTCATATTGTTTATCCAATCCATAAAACATAGCTGTGGAAAGGAAGTATTGTCAAGAACTGAATACTGGCCAGGCATGGTGGCTCACTCCTATAATCCCAGCCCTTGGGAGGCTGAGGCAAGAGAATCATTTGCAAGTTCAAGACCAGCCCGAGCTACAAAGTAAGCCCAAGGCCAGCCTGAATTGCATAGCAAGACCTTATCTCAAAAAGACTAAAAAAAAAAAGGAAGAAATAACTGAATGCTGCACATTCATTGTTCCCACAGAGTAGCTGTCTGTTCATTCAAGTTCTAGAACCTAATATAAGACTTATCTGACCCCTAACCATCATGGTATTTAAACATCATCATATTTAAACATTATCATATTTAAATAGCATCCTCAAAGTTTTATTGGGACACAGCCACATCCCTTTGTTGAGAATTGTCCAAGACTGCTTTCAGTTATGATGGCAGAGTTAAGCAGATGTGAGAGAGACCATATGAGCCTCAAGACCTGAAATGCTTACTGTTTCACCACTGACAGAGTTTGCCTACTCCTCCACCAGGATATAACGGTCTAGGTCAGTGATGGTGAACCTTTTAGAGTTTCCAGGGATAACAAACAGCGCTGCTGCAGTACACATGCCATAGGTTCGCCAATACTGGTTTTCTAAGATTGGTGTGAGGGAGACTCCCCCATCAATTTAGATAGCTTTGCCAAGTGTCGCTGAAGCCTATTCTGTCCCGTGCAGCAGCCACCAGCCAGTACAGGTAGATGGGCAAACTTAGTGTCCTTTGTCTAGTATAAAATACTGTTCATCAAGGGTAAAATACACATAGCACTTCAGATAGCTGGGCTAAACAAAGAATGTCACACATCTCGTTTATGTTTTTATGTCTAGTACATGTTGAAACAATAATATCTTGGCCATATTGGAGTAAACTAAATTCTTAAAGTGAACTTCACTAGTTTTTTGGTGTGTTTTTTTTTTTTCCTTTTTAATGTTTATTTGAAATTCCCTGTGGGGGGAAAGTTGTATTTTATTGAAAAAAAAAAATCCCTGTGGCTCACACCTCTGTTGGGCCGTGCTATTTAGAAGGAAAACAGGCTGATTATTTTTCTTCATGTGATACATTTTTCTGGAGGAAGCTTTATGAGAACTGCTAACTTTTCTCTTTGTTTGTGGAACAGACGACAATAATTTGGGACGCCCACACAGGAGAAGCCAAGCAGCAGTTTCCTTTTCATTCAGGTGAGACTGCAGTCAAGGCCACTGCTGTGTTTTGGGGGTTCATAGGCCGACCCGGAAGTGGTTATTTAGCTGCCCCAGAGTTGAGGAGAAGGGAAGGGTGATGCCAAGGGCCCTGGAGCTAGCATGCACCAAGTCACTAGCTCCTGGGCTCTTTCCCTGGCCTGCCCTGGTGCTATGGGATGGTGGTAAAGGTCCACAAGTGAAGTCAGAAGGTCAAGGATGAGTACCATGCTGGACAGTGTGCCAGATAGTACACAGAGATCAGGGAGCTTCACCTCGAGGCCATCCCTGTTGTTTCTGGTGTTCCTGTCACTATAAGGAAGCACACTGTGAACCAGGAAGTGGGTAAGGGTCAGGAGGAGGCAGGGATGCGAGGAGTATCAGGAAGAGTAGTTGGTGATGGGAACAGTGAACCCACTAGAGCTAGCGAGGAGGAGGAGGAGTATGTTCTCCCCAGTCCTGTGCTGTATGCCCACCACTGTTTGCCAGGGGGCTATCAGGAGACCAGTTACCCACCCCGAAGTGGTCTATTTTAGTGTGTGGCAGATTTGTTTAATCAGATTATCTTTTTCTTTTAAAGAGAAAAATAAACAAAGAAAAGAAAGAAAGAGACAAGCAACAACTACAAGAAACCCAGACCAGTAATAATATAGGCTTTCAAAACAAGACGACAGATATTTAACAATGGTTGCTAAATTGCATATTGTTATCTTGAAAAGAGCTGCTTAGAATACCAAATATATCCATGCAAAATTGATGAAACTGCATTAATCTAAGTATCTTGAGCATAGACTACACAGTCTTCTCCTTCTTCTTTTGGCTACGCCCTGTGTAAAATTAACTCAGCGCCCATAGGGGCATGAGCAGGAAGCCCCATGCTGTCACCTCCTCTTCTCAGCTCTACAGTGGGAGCCAGACATGCAGTGCCCCTGAGGCTCAGGACATAGCAGAGGGTCTCTTTCCAGAGGCAGCTTGTCCCCACAAGCTGGAAGGAGACAGCCTTTTGAGTCTTTGCAGGAAAGAGCCTGCATTCCTGTTGGAAGTGCTCCTTACTGTGTTACTATAGCAGAGATGAGGCTTCTTGATGATGCATTAATTTCTCTAACTCCCTCGAGCTGTGTACAGTGAGACAGCGTGAATGTGTTCCCTCTGCCCGGCCCGCAGCCCCGGCTCTCGATGTGGACTGGCAGAACAACACTACTTTCGCCTCTTGTAGCACAGATATGTGTATTCACGTGTGCAGACTTGGCTGCGACCGCCCAGTCAAAACCTTCCAAGGACACACGGTAAGTGTTGACCACTGAACACAAGTTTGTTTGTGTGTGATAGGGCACTGTTTCTTCTATACCTAGAATTAAAAGACATAGTGACAGCAGACCTGTTATTCTTGAGCCCTTAGCTGCTGGAGCTGTGTGGCTACCATAGGGAGTTGGGTCAGCCCCACTGTAAGTAGCAAATGAGAAAAGCAGACCCTGGCCTGACTCAAAGCAAACTTTTTTTTTTTTTGTACTAGGGATTGAATTTGCAACCTCACACTTGCCAGGCAGGTGCTTAAACCACTGAGCTAAATCCCTAGCCCCAAAGCAGACTTTAAAACAGCTATCAGAATGTGTGAAGACATAAAGAAAAAGGTGCTAGTAGTAAATGAATACATGAAATGTGTCCATAGAAAATGGAAATCTGTATTTTTATAAAAGAAGACTTGAGAACTAGTTGGATAAAGTCTGGAATGAAAACCTTACTGAATGGGTTTAACAGCAAGTTGGAGTCAACAGAAATCAAGTTAGTACACTTAAAGAAAGATGGCTATAAATGGATGTAACTGGAGACCGTATACATTAGTGAAATAAATCAGACTGACCTGTGTGTAAATCTTGTGTTGTTTCCCTAGTATAAGAAACTGAAAGAATAAATAAAATTTAATAGCTACTGTGAAAGCAAAAGGGAAAGAAAGTGCTCATAGGAAAAGAACACCTGGGATGGGGAAAGGAGAAAAGGAAGAAGGGAAAGGTTATATATATAAGATAGATAACTATACTGCTATCTTGTTAGTTCATCAAAAAGAATTGTTAGTTCATCAAAAAGAATTGTGCTTTCGTTGTATAATTGTTCATGTTTTTCATGCCTATGTCTTGTAATCTGAACTACTTTGAAGATGACAATATGCAATATATTTTGCTTTTCTTCTTTTTGGTAGCAAGAATCAAACTCACAACCTTGCACTTGTCGGGCAGGCGCTTGTTCCACTGAGCAAATCCCCAGCCCAATACGCAATATATTAACCAGCATAAATCTATTATTTTGTTTTGAAATTCTGTATTACTTTTATTCTTTTTTCATTTTAAAATTTTAAAAAATCATGGAAATTGGCCTATTCAGAGAACACAATTACAAAAATGAACAGGGTTTTCACAGCATATAGGACCATATCATGTACTCTATGTCAGTGCAACAGAGAAAGAAAAAAGATAATGGAACAAAAAATGTATTTGCTGTTTTCCTGTGATGGAAAACATCAGCAACACTCAGAAGAATACAAAGAGAATCACACTGGTAGCGGTGCGTAGTCACCAGGCACCAGAACAAAGACAGAAATCGTAAAAGCACCCCTAGAAGCAATAGTGTGATCCACAGTGGACTTGTCAGCTTTCTCACAGCAGGGCAGGCCCATCCTCAGTACCCACACATCCTATTGAGCACCTCATACTGTCTTAGCCCTGTGGGAAATGCCCCCCAGCTCCAACAGCCAACTCGGTCCCACCCTAAAGCCTCCTCCTGTCTTCCAAGGCCCTACCCGGAGGTCCTGTAAACCCAGCCCTGCGCTGCTTCCTGTGGGCCTTGGCCTTGGGGTGACTGCCAGTGCATGGGGGAGTGGCCCTAGGGCAGAGGAGGTTGAGCAAAAAAGTGCCATCGTGGAGGCGGAGCAAAGATGGCAGATAGATAACAGCTGGCTACAGAGGCTGCCTGAGATAGTCAACTTGGAACTCAACATAATACAACATGGGGAGCCCCGAACAGAGGAAGAGGAATTCTCTCATCCCAAGAAGAAATTAAGGTGAGAAGAACCAATCAAACATACACTCCTGGCCAGCCGCACCACCGTGCAGCCCTGAGCGTCTCCAGGCCACTGGTGAGACAGGCCATCCCTGCACCACTGCACTCCAGCCACCGCCTCCAACTGTGTCACCAGGGGCCCACCGGAGGCTGGGGGAGTGGAGTGACTAGGTGCCCAACAGCTGCCCACACCCCAGTCGCAGCAGACACCGCCTCCCCGAATCTGGGCTGTGTCCCGGAGGGCATGAGGAGGAGGGCACGTTGCGGCATCACAGGCACAGGCCCGGATCTGCTGGGACACATCATCGCCTTCGCACTTGCTGCTCACACAAGGACCCGAGCCCACAGCGCCGGCACTGAGCAGGCCCCCACTGCTGGAGCACCACGAGGTCCCCCAGGTGGGTGTGTGTTTGCCGCTGCCAGGCCAACACAACCGGAGCCCAGAGAATCTGCTTGTGAAAACACCTCTTCAGACAATAATCAAAAATACAGAACCAGAACTTTCCAGTTTCCTGCTGTAATCAACCAGCTTCAGGGAATTGGAACTGCCTGCCTGCTCCCTGAACACTGGACTGTGCGGCCTGGGGTGAGTGTCTCTGCACCATCCTAAGCCCCTGGGAGGGAGTTTAACATACCTCAGATAATAGCAAATTAGGAGGGGCAACAAAAGCCCAACATGCTTTGGAAAGACCCTAAGCAATACGGAGAGGGCCAGAGACCCGCCCCCCCCCCAACACACCTGTCTCAAAGAAACTAGAAACATGACAAGAGATAGAAATTTAAAAAAAAAAAAAATGCCGCCACTGACCCTGGAAAAATAATCTGAGGAGGCATAAATACAGAAGAGAAACAGTGTAGTAATCATGCAATATTAGACACAGCATCATTGGACATAAAGAAATACCTTCGTGACATCATAGACAAATTTAAAACTGTACTTCTGATCCAATTGAGGCAAGACATAAAAAGATTAATTAAAGAAATGATAAACCCCTCCCAGGAGAACACAGATGAAAGAAAGGAGGAACTCAAGAAAGGAAGAAAAACCTTTGATGAAGAATATAAACAAAATCTAGAATACATGAAACATCCAAAGGATTATCAGGAACTAAAAACTCCATTGAAAGCTGGCAAAATGCCTTGACATAAACTAAAGTTAGCCTTTTGAAACTTGAAGAGAGCTTTATAGTGTGTGATCATGAAAGAAAAGATCTCTTAAAAACAACAAGGAACCAGGAAGAAACAATTCAAAGGCTAGAAGATGGCGAGAGGATTTATAACTAAAGAATAAAAAACATGAGCGAAGAAGCAGGAGTAAATACAAATGAACTACAAAGATTATTCACAGATATAATTAAGAAAAACTTCCCAAACATGGGGAAAAGAAATGATAACCAGATAAATGAGGCATACAGAACTCCAGCCAACTACAACCAAAGCAGATCTACACCCAGACATATAATAATCAAGATTCCAGAAATCTACCACAAGAACAGAACATTAAAAGCAGCCAGAGAAAAGAAGCAGATTAGCTACAACAGAAAAAATATCAAAATAACAACAGACTTATTAACACAAACTCTCAAATCAAGAAGAGCCCGGGAAGAAATCATCCAAGCCCTGAAAGGAAATAACCTCCAGCCAAGTCTGATGTACCTGGAAAAACTCTCTCTCAAAATTAGTGAAGAAACAAGACTTTTCCAAGACAAGGAGGAACTGTGGGAGCTTATGGCCACCACCCCAAACCTACAAAAAATAATGAAAGACATTCCAGAGAGAGAGGAAAAAATACAAGCAACAGTGACAGAGAGGCCTCAATGAATGGAGCAGACAGTAGAATGAAGGAGTAGAGTGGACAAATAATGGCAGAATAATAAAATAGCAGAAATGAGGCAGAGATTGTAAGCTATAATCTTTAATATAGATAGCCCTGATACACTAACAAGAAACACAGGCAGAGTAGATTTGGAGGCAGGATCCATCAAGATGCTCTGAAAGGAGACATACTCAACCCTCAAAGAGGGTTAATAAACAGAGTCAAAGATGAGAAAACAATGTTATATGTGACAGGATGCTAGAGAGAAATAGGGACAACTTGTCCAGCAGCTGCAATGGAAATAGATAGGAAAGCTATGACACTTTGGGGCAATGTAGAACTACACAGCTGGAAGGAAGGAAAACTCTATGACTTTAGTAAGCAAAGGAGTACAGCTCAAGATCAAGCTCAGGGGTAGAAAATTTCAGCAACACTCAGATAACAGGGTTGGCCCCCTAATCTAAAAACTAAAAGAGCTAATGGGACCCAAAATATATAAAGCACCCTGAGAAAGGGAAAAGGGAGGAACTGTCTAAAAAAGGATGGCAGAGGACATCGTTAATAGTGATCAAGATTTAAAAGTCACAGTAGTCTTATCACTCTGTTTAGTTTGATTATATTTTGTTCGGGTCTGTCTACTCATTAGATTTGAGGGCACAGACAGCTAACCCAAAAATAGCAGGTTATACCATAGTAACTGTCCTTAATTTCCTATTAACTTACATTGAAACCTTGTATTACTTACATTGTCTTACTATGACTGATCTCATTTGAAGCTGGTTTGTTAGAAGCTGTTTAGCCTCAACTGATTTCATTCAAATCTGGTATGCTTGCTAGTATCAAGTCTGGGAGTGGAGACAAGTACTCTGAAGATGAAAAGATGTAAAAGATATCCATTCTGGTTTTGATTATTAACTGCTTTCAAGTCCTACAGTATCTTCAAAGTTGTGTTTTTATTAAAATAGCTATGTAATGTTATGTTCAGTTATATTATGCCTGATGATGTGGACAAGTCTATTGAAAATAACAAGAGAAAGCATAGTAACTACTGTAGATCACCTAATATTGTGGTTCTATATATCTTTTTCATTTCATTTTTTCTAGGAATTTATTTTATTGTCTTATTTTGATCTGTTTTTCCCTATAATACAGAAAGGATAGATATACATGTAGAGATTCACACATGAGAAAATTTCTAAACTATTTACAGGAACAGATTATATAATGTATGATGTAAGGAACAGATGCTCTAAAGAAGAAACTCAGTACTAATTTTGTAGCATTATGATATGAAATCTAGCAATGCTATCATTCACTGTTCAGAGTGATATTAGTCTAGTCTCTTAAGTTCAATTTCAGCATACATAAAGATAAAGACAGTTACTACGAAGAGACTGAGAAACATTATGGTAAACATTTTTGACTTCCCCTAAATCAGATCTTGAAGACCTAAAAGGCCTTAATCATCCTGTAATGATCTGATTAGTTCTATAATGTTCAGTATATATTCAATGTGTGTGAAGATGGGGACAACTATTTGGAAGAAAATTAGAGAAAATAAGATAGTAAAGATCTCCAGTGGACTTGCTTTGAAATCTGTTTCTTTACATTGTTTCCTTATAAACTGTTTTATTCTGTTTTGTTATGTTTAATCTTACCCTCTTTAAGATAAAAAAATAACTGTGTAGGACTGATAACCTTATTACTAAGTTCTTGTTGGATCGTTGAGCAGAACTGTTTGCAGTGTCATTGTTTAAATATCACTTTGTATGTTTTAATTTTGTAACTCGGGCAACTATTTCTAAGATGATGGTATGTAACGTATCTGCTGGTGATTTCTTTATTTTTCTGAAATTCTGTATTGTTTCTACCTTTTTATTTTTTTCTTTAAATAAAATATGACAACACACACACACACACACACACACACACACACACACACACTGTCAGATCCCCTGGGGTCACAGCATTCTGCCCTCACCACAGGACCCCATGCTGCAGGCCCAAGGAGCACTTCCCTGAGGAGCTTTAGAGCCTGTACCCCCCTCCTGTGCCCTTCCTTGGCAGAAGGTTTTGCTCCTTTTTTTCCTGGCAGGTCCAGTTTTCTTTCCCTGAAGACCTCACCCAGTCTTTCCCATTTCTCTTGTGTTTACTTCCCCATCTGACTGGCACAGCCCCCCCAATGAGACAGAGGACACTCTTATTGATAACAGGAACTGCCGCTTTATTGTCACGGGCTCTGGCTTATATATTCGGCCGTGACCAATCACAGGCTGCCACGAGGAGGCAGGGTTGGGATGGGACATGGTGTATTGCGGAAGCTGACATGGTCCTTTGTCCCGGGTGGGGTATGGTATGTTGAGCGCCTGCGCCCAACATCTCCCCCTTTCTTTATAACTGACGCAGGGTCTCCAGGGGTCGGTGCCCCTCGTGAGGTGTCACGCTGCAGTCATGACAGTGCCTCACTACTCGTTGGTGCTCTTTTGGAGGGGGCGGGAGTATTGTTTTATGAGCCCAACCTGCATGCTCATCGACTTGGAGACCGGGGTGTCTCCTGGCCAAGGACGACACCCCCTGCGATGCTTTGCTCCACACCTGCGTCACAGCATGGCGAGCCATGCTGCCGGGTTTTGACCGGATTCCACGGTCAGCAATGCTTGTTTGATAATTACTTTGTCCCTATTCCTTTGTCTGCGAATCCAACAGAGCAGAAGTACACTGCCGAATGCGGCAAGTGTAGCCATGGTAGCCAGAGCCCCTATTCCTGCCCATTCCTTTATGAAAGAGAAAGCTTTATGGATCCAATTGGAGAGTTAGCCCAAGTTTATGGCAGTAACTACAGTGGAATTTAGCTTAGCTATCTCTAGCCTTTGTTGTTGGATGAGTTGCTGGGCTTCTAGGGACCAGTTTCTTTAGGAGATTGCTCAGAATCCTATTATTAAGCCTGTCAGTGGGGTAAGCTGTGATGCACACATCACCTACTCTATGAATGCAGCCAATACTAATGACTTGATATAGCTCCTCTATGGATAACTCTAAGAGATCTACCCTTTCATTAACTAGGAGGATGCCACTGAGGAATTTGGCATTAATCTGAGATTGGGTTTGTAAGGTATCTGCTGTCTGATGGATGATGTTAATTTGTTCAGCCATTGAGACTTGTGATGTGAGGGCTACGGCAGTGGCTGATAGCTGTCACTATCGCGGCCTTGATTCCAAAATCTCTTTTATTGCGCACGAGCTGGATCACAGGAAACTTGTCTGAGTCTGCCATAACTGGAATCGGTATGAACTGGGGTACCTGCATAACGACAGCTGAAAGTGTACTGTTATCCCAACATTGTGACACATAACAGGTTGCGGTGGAGCAATTTAGAAAAATCATATTTGTGGTTGCTTCAAACAACAGAAAAAGGTAGGAAGCTTGCAGGCAGACTGGGGTTTTTGTAATATTGAAGACCTTTTAAGACTTGTAGGTGGAGGGTGTGAAGGAATCATTGCTCCTCACCCCTGAAACATTGCTATGACAAACACGGACTGGGGTCTCTGTAGTCTGGCCTAATTGGAAAAGGGCTGATATATCTCCTGCTGCTCTGGCCCGATTAGTGAGCTTCCAGTTATACCAGCTCCAGCCCTTACTTATGGGGCTCGTGGGGACGTCATGTGTCCTGCTTGGCAAGTCGGGCGCCAAGGAGAATCCCCATGTTATGTCTTGGGAGTATCCATCTAGGGAATCACAAGTGGTAAATTGGAGGACCTTTGCCCAGATAGGGGTACAGAAGGATCCTCGGGGTCCTGTTGGCGGGAACCAGGCCCTCCACGGTAACCATGAGGGTGGTAATATTCATGGAGTCGTGGGGGAGATGGGGGCTAAATGCATGGACTGGCTGGGGAATGGGCCAGGCACGAGCAATGCCCCAAAAGGTTTGGTTAGCTGTAGAAACTAGATGAGGGGTGAGAAAAAGAAAGAGAAGAAGGGTCGGAGGCAGTTTGGTCGCGGGGGTGTGACCACTACTAGTCTGCATTGTTATTAGTGGTGTCATTGGTGGTGGGGATTGCAGGTATACTTGCTTCACCTGGTTGGGGTATCTTGTCAGGTTCCCATTGTGGGGCCATAGTCCTTATGCGGGGCGGCCCTGGGAGGCCATACTCCCCTTCATTAATCCATGTGCTTTGAGATATCATACGTTGTAAACCATTTATAGCTTCCGAGTAAGGCCCGCCTGACTTTGGGTGTCTAACTTCCTCCTTTCCGGCGGCCGCTGCATCCGCCATTTTGTGTGCCTCTTCCTCCTCTTCACTATCTGACGAGTCCTCACTCTCTGGGTCAGGGACAGCCGCCTCACCTGCGACACTGGGCTCACGAGATTGCTCGCGGGAAGATTCTGTCTGATGGTGGCTGAGCGCCATGGCGCCTGCCATTATATGGTCACGACATGTAGCATTTGCGAGGCAACTCCTCACTATCGCCCAAAGAGGTCTAACTCCTGGTTCTAGGAGGCCATTTTCTGCTGCAAAATCTAGGTCTCTCCCTAGTTTGTCCCAACTAGGGATTGTGACAGAGCCCGTGGGACCAAACCAAGGTGCTACCTTATCAACTTGGTCTAGAAAATTTTGGATTTGCTTTCATTTTATTTTCAGTCCCTTTTCTCTCAGTAAGTCGCTCAAAGCAATTAACAGCAGCTGACTGGCAGTGTTACCCATCTTAAGATAGATTTCTCTTTAGGGGACAGCTTAATCCCCACACCCCTTTCACAGCGCCCCCGTAGCCTGCCTTTTTACGGCTCCCGGAACTCTCTTTACGAGTTCCTCAATCCCTTGTGACGCGTCCGCCCAAGGTTGCCCGATAGCCCCCGCTATCTGGCGCTGTAGCCCCCGCTACCCGCTGTGTAGCCCCCGCTACCAGCATTTTGGCAGTTTTACCTGTTAACGTCTCTATTCCATCGGAGAGAGAGAGGTTCCCCGTACGGGCCTCCAGTTGACCGGCGCAGCCCCCCAATGAGACAGAGGATGCTCTTATTGATAACAGGAACTGCCGCTTTATTGTCGCGGGCTCTGGCTTATATATTCGGCCGTGACCAATCACAGGCTGCCACGAGGAGGCAGGGTTGGGATGGGACATGGTGTATTGCGGAAGCTGACATGGTCCTTTGTCCTGGGTGGGGTATGGTATGTTGAGCGCCTGCGCCCAACACCCGTCCACTAAATGTCAGACAAATGTGCAGTCATGGATGTAGACAGAGGGGAGGCTGCTATATTAAAGAACTCAGAAATGTCACAGTCCAGGCCTGGTGCTCACGATGACTGAGGCTTTCTTCTTATTTTTCAACGTGCTTGTCATATGTGAATTCTTCGATCAGCCTCCTTTCTCATGGAAACGTTTTACCTTAAAGAAATATGGATGATCTTAGCTGGGTATGTGTGGTAGATGCTATACTTTCATACAAGCGAAAAGGCAAAGTGAGACAAAGAAAAAATACAGGCTTGTGCGTTGTGTGCCTTGCTATTCCCGGTAAATCCTGGAAGCTGCTGGCAGACCTTTAGCGCCCTCTGGTGGACAATCTGCTATAGCAACTCCTGGCATTCCTTTGCCCTCTTGCAGAATGAAGTCAATGCCATCAAATGGGATCCTTCCGGAATGTTGCTAGCATCCTGCTCTGATGACATGACATTAAAAGTAAGTCCCTTCCTGGGCAACCAGCAACTGGTTTGCCTGGCTGGCACCTGTGGGCGGGCTTCTAGGCATGTCACAGGGGACAGCATTATTCCTTTCATCCCCAATGTTTTCTTCTAGATCTGGAGTATGAAGCAGGACACCTGTGTGCATGACCTTCAGGCCCACAGCAAAGAGATCTACACCATCAAGTGGAGCCCCACAGGGCCTGCCACCAGCAACCCAAACGCTAGCATCATGTTAGCGAGGTAACAGTAGGGCAGTCTGGGGCCCCGGCTCTGTTCCTCAGCTCAGCTGCCTGCTGTCCAATTAGCAGCCTGGCTAGGATAGCTCATCAGCTAAGAGCAGAAAAGCTCCCAGAAAGTGCTGGCAACAGGTTAAAACCCTTCCAAACCACACAGAGTGGTGCAACCCCAGGGAGGGGCCAGTCCTGTGCAAACAACGTGGTTCCTGAATCTTTACAGGATTGGCTCCCACAGCCACCTGTGATGACAGAGACTCTAGAGCAGCCAGGGAGCTCAGCCCCAGTGCGGAACAACCTAGAATGTGCTTATAACCCTTGTGTTTTGGCCTTCAAGTCCTCTCCCGGTCACGGCCGTGCCTGAACAATGCCAATGAGTGTAGTTGTTACACTGCATCTCAGGACTGACAACAAACTGTGTGTGTTCAGTATAGACACACAGTTCTTGTCAGTTATTTTTATGGTGGTGGTTTTGTTTACTTGCTTTACCTGCTTGATTTGTGATACTGGGATGAGACCCAGGGCCTTGTGCATGCTAGGCAAGTGCTCCACCATGGGGCAGCATTCCAGCCCCCTTGGGTGTTTTTGATCTGCAGGTGGCTGGTGTGGAATAAGCTGATAGGAAGGAATGGCTGGATCCATTCAAGGCACGGATTGTGTTAACTGGGAGGCCAATAGCCGAGGTGTATTTTGTCTCCAAGATTGGGCACCTTCGCCTTTTGTTAAGACAGAGAAACAGGAAGAGGTTAGCTGAGACCTTGGGCTTGGTTTATGAAGCTCAGCTCAGAGCCATTGGCAGTGTGGATTCAGACAAGGATTCCCTGGCTCCCGCCAGATCTGGCCTGATCTTTTGTATGATGAATCTGCTAAGACCAGCGGAGGATAGGGCAGCCAGTGAGTCACACTACAACAGCAAAGAGTGGTTGTCAGGGACAATGGTGGCCCTTCCAAACCACATCACCTTTGGTCAGGGATCAGAATCATTGCATCTCGATCCACTTTGGGTCCCTAGGAATATAGCATTCTACTCTTGGTTTTGTTTTACTTCCTTTTCACAGTACTGAGGCTTGAGCCTATACAAAGCAGGTACCAAACCAATAAACCCCACCCCCAGCCAGCTCTACCTTTGGTACTTTTTTTTGGTACTGGAAATGGAAACTCACAACCTTGTACTTACCAGGCAGGTGCTGGGCCTCTGAACTATATCCCTAGCGCCTGCCTTTGGTACTTTAATGAGAAAATTCTGAGGCCCAAAGCCATGAAACAGGACAGTCTGGTAACTGCTGTGGGTCATTGGGATTTGGCTCTGTGAAATGTGGATGTTTGTGTAACCTAGAGAAGACAAGATGTGGGAGGGATATTGGGTTACCCGGAGGCGTCAGGAGGGTTTTTCTGGGTAGTTTCAGAGAAGAGCAATGTGGGAGAAGTGACAGGCAGGCAGCAGGTGGGCGGCAGCAAGGATGGTTGTCCTGGAAGCGGTGGGAGGAATTCAGGCATTAGCTGAGTGGCAGAACCAGGAAAACCCAAAGGCCATAGTTCTCCTGTTTCAGGTAATTGTCTGAAATCCACTTAAATTGTAATGATACAGTCTAGATGCTGTCATCATTTTTTGAGGTCCAAAAAGGTATTTTTGTGTCCTATGGTGTCCCATTAGGTATCTAAATTACCCTTTTGTCACCAAGTATAAAGGAAACCTCCAGTGCCAAAGAAAACAACTTTGTGATGTGTAGATAGTTCTCCTAAATTTGAGAACAGCTCACATTTGCAGCGCTCAGCAGTGTAATCTTAGATGTGTTTGTGATTGTGCATTGTACATTCCTCTTGAGTGAAAACAACTCTTAAATGCGTATCCACTCAATTTGCGGGGAATTTTTTCTGAGTGTAAGTAGACACATGTATTTGGTTGCTTAAATAGGTATGGGTTGGGACTGAGGATTTAGCTCAGCTGTACAAGTGTCTGCATATCATGTGCAAGGCCATGAGTTTGATCCCTGGCATCAAAAAAAAAAAAAAATAGGTATGAAAAAAATAGGTATGGGTTATAGATTGTAGGACTGCATGAGAAAACATAAGTGTTCCGGGAAGTATCTTATCATTTCTAATAAAAGACAGTGAAGAAACGTGAATAGGGGTATCAATATAATAACAGCACCAATTTTTTTTGTTGTTTTAGAACTGTAGCTTTGTTTTCCATGCATATGAGTTTATGTTTCAGAGAAGAAGGAGCTCACTAGTTTATTGTGAAACATTAAAGCAAGACAATTTTAAAAAGCAGGGGCCAATCATATAGCTCAGCAGCATGAGCACCTGCCTAGCAAACACAAGGTTGTGAGTTCGATTCCCGATGCCTCCATGCACAGTATGCTTTCTCTGCCTCCTTCCCAGCGCTTCATTTGATTCTACGGTTCGGCTGTGGGATGTGGAACGAGGCGTCTGCATCCACACACTGACCAAGCATCAGGAGCCTGTCTACAGTGTAGCATTCAGCCCTGATGGGAAGTATCTGGCCAGCGGTTCCTTCGACAAGTGCGTGCATATCTGGAATACTCAGGTAACTTCTCCATGCCCGTGGTTACATTCTCTGGGAAGACATGCCTGAATGCTGTCTGCAAGGCCTTCTCTTGGCGTTGTCTGAATCCCTGACATGGAACCTGCCTTGTGCTCTGGGGAAAGCCTGGTACCATTGTGTAACACCCCCTAGCATGGGGGGTTGTGTCCCTTCATCTAAGCTCTCCAGGTGGACCCACCAACTCTACCAGCACCACTGTGGAGCTAGTCGGTGGAAGGAAGATGTGTGACTTTCAGGTGACAAAGTGACATGCCTGAGTGACACAGTGCGCATCATACAAGGCTGTCCTTTCTCCAGAGACTAGAAGAGGCAGGCTTGGAGAAATTTAGCCATTGTGGACCTCTGGCAACAGAAGCATGTGAGAGGGCCATGCAAATCTAAGAACGTCTCAGCAAAACCAGCAAGGAAGCAACTCGCATGGCATGTGGGTTCGAACTCTAGGACTCCAAAAAAGAGCCAGTGAGGAACCTGTGAGCCAGAGTTTCCCATCAGCTGAGGATGTGTATGGCAGGCCACCTGTCTGAGGCTGCCGGGATGGCCTGAGTCCCTAGCTGAGCACAGTCATGGCCCAGGCACTGGTTCTGAAGATGACCAGAGGTGAGCTGTCCTCTGCAGAGTTGAAGTTGGCTAGTCACGAGCTACGGCCACCATACCAGAAACCCTTCCATCTTCTCTGTGCTTGGAGATTTTCCTGGTCAAATATAGGGTACAACCAGGATAGCCTAGGGTATGCCGCAGCTCTCAGGACCTCCTGGCACCACACTTGACGGTTGCTTTGCTTTGCTTTGCTTTGCTTTGCAGAGCGGAAGTCTGGTCCACAGCTACCGAGGCACGGGTGGCATCTTTGAGGTGTGCTGGAACGCTCGAGGCGACAAAGTGGGTGCCAGCGCTTCCGATGGCTCTGTAAGTGGTGCCTTTGTCAGGGACAGGGACGTGGGCAGGGGACTAACAGACTTAAGCAGCTGGTGCCCAAGTGATATCAGTACACAGCAGGTGCTCAGCCCCTGCAGAGGATGAGAAGGACACCTGTGTCAGGATGGTACCATGTCTAGACTAGCCTTCTCACTGTCCCTTCCAGAAGACACTGCAGCAGAGCACACAGATAAACCTGGAGGCATTTTATCTACTCAGCCCAGGACCCCATGGGCCTTGTTCTGCCCCAGTGGGTGGTTTGGGTATTTTTCCTGACCTGGATTATCCCTCCATGCTGTTGGCTTGAATGTGGTGGGAGAGATGCTCAGACACTGGCCTGTTATTAGAAATTCCCTGGCCCTCTTGATTGTCCCAATAAAACTTTATAAATGCATCCATAGCCATACAGGTGTGGTCCCAGGGTCACGGTTCTGCCTGCCTGCATTCTAAGGCATCCTGGGGTGTTCCTCAAGGTAACAGGTGTGGCATCTTTCCTTCCAGGTGTGTGTTTTAGACCTGCAGAAGTAAACATAAAATACAGAGGGGAAAAAAATTGTAACGGACCAGCAGCGAATGCATGGGCAGCTGCACTGTTCCAACTCTCAGCTCCCAAAGCATTTGAGCATGACCCACCTGAGAGTGTGCTTTGACATCAGCTCATCTCTAGCCACAGATGTCTGTCTTCTTTCCTAATCTTCACTCAGAAGTTTAAAAACCAAGCAAACCCAAACGAATACACATGGTCATTATCAACAGGGGAAAAAAGTCTCCACCTAGGACATCCTGCCGGGGAAGGATGAAGCCATCAGCGGCTTGGTTTGCATCCACCTCAGACTCTGATGGCCGACAAGTGTGGGAAAAGCTGTGCTAAAAAAAAAGAAGAAAAAGAGAAATGTTGTGAGAAACCAAAAGGGGAAAAAACACCTCTCCTGATGCCCCCCACCCTGTCAATTTGGACCCTACAGTCACTCTCATAAAGGGTATGTGCAGAGGGTGTATTTGGAGACCAGTGTGTACCCGTGAATGATGCACAACTTTGTAATCCCAGCACCTTCTACTTTCTAGAACCTTCTTTGTTCAGTGGGTTTTCTATTCGCTGGAACTCTGTCATCCGCAGGCCTTGGTTTAAGATGGAAATGTTTTGAGTTGGTTGTTTCTTCCCTCCCACACCCACCCCATGCTGTTTTCCTTTGTCTGGTGTGGTCTTGCCCTTCATGACACCCGCAGCGGACGTGGCCACGTGGACCTGGTGACAAAACCATGGATGGACAGCTCCCCCGCTCTGCCCTTCGCTCACACCTGCTCTGTCCCTCTCTCATGGTCCTTTCACATCTGAGTTCACAAAGGGCACTTTCGGCGTTCAGTAAGTGCTTTATGTAAGAAAGCGGGGAGGGGGAGTTTTTACAGGAGAAAAAAATGACTTATAAGAGAAAGAGCCTGGAGTATTTTTGGAAAAAAAAGATAATATTTTTATGTTAAAACAATTTTAAAATCCTGAAGTGACCATTGGACACAGAGAGCTTTGTGTGATTCCTATTTTAGAAACACTGATGTTTAAGGACATACAGGTAGTGGGAGGCAGCTTGCCCTTTCCCTCCAGTGGTGTGGAAGGTGGCCGACGGCTGGGTGACGAGCCTAGCCACAGGGGCTGTGCGCTCCTTCCTGTCACACCAACAAAGCCGAAGTGCTATGAAGTGATGGGTGCCCTTTTTGAGCATAACAGGTGTCCCTACTTCCAGGATGCATTAGTTCAGTATGCAGGCCGTTGGGGGTTCAGACAAGCACCATTTTTAGTGCACCCCAAAAAAACACACATTCCTCTCTGCCAAGCATTAGCTGTCCAGTGTCAGCCCATTGTCCTAATATGACTCATGCAGTCCACCATGAGGGTTGAAGGCATGGCATGTAAGGGGTTCACTAGCCAATCTGGGCCTAGATTCCAGGGCTGGGGTCTCACACCCTGAGGGAGTGAAGCCACCACTTCATCTTCTTGCATAAAGCGGGCTACCATGTCCCCTGCTGTCCATCAGCACAGCAGAGGACAGGTCAGAGCATGTAGACCCAGCTAGAGAATGCTGCTACTCATGCTCCGGAAGTGTATCCCACTCTCAGCAGCTCTGATCACCTGGCCACTGGAGCCAGCACACACAGTTTGCAGCCAAGGGCCATGTGTCACATTGCCCAACCTTGTCTGCTGCTCTGAGGGATGCTTCAGTCTCAGTGGCCGAATGTAACCTTGCAGGCAGATACAAGTGACCACAAGCCTTGCCCAGCACATGCCTGGGAAAGGGAGTCGCCCCACAGAGGACTGAGTGGGCCAGAGGCACGAGATGGAGTTGGCTCTCCTACCCTGACAACACCAATGCCGTACTTGACCTGTTCTGTCTTTCTCAAACATAGATCATGGAGCCTAGCCAAGTGCACTTTGTCCATGTGAGGATCTGCTTTGTTCCTTGTTATTTTTCTCTTTTTTTAACCTCTCATTTCCCCTTTATTTTTTTTTTTCATTGTATTTCTTGTCAGATATAGAAATGTTTCTTCCACCACTCACTGAAGTTTTGAATTCTGGCTTCTGCGGTTTTTATTGTCTGTGTCAGACATACAGCCAGATGTGGTTCTCTGTCAACATTTTCTAGATTCTGTTCAACAGCATTGACTCCCCACCTCAGTTTTGTTCTGTATCCCTAACCCCCACTCATCCCTCACACTCTTGGAGAGAAAAAATAAATCACCTTGTGTGTCATAGCTCATTTATTTCCAGCGAGAATCAACAGATCATGTTCAGTGTCTTGAATAAATTGCTCTATTTTGATATTAGAGAACTTGGTGGTTGTGTTTTATTAATTTTCTCATCTTCCTCTAATTCCTGGCCCATATCAACATTGGTGAATGAAGACAGAATTCTGCATTTTCAACCTCACCATCGGTGTGCAGAAGAGGGGCTGGGTGGATCTGGGGCGCCTGCATCAGCCTCCCCGTGTGTCTGGAGGACTGTGGATATCTCAGCAAGCAGGGGAGGATTGCAGGTTCCAGAGGCACCGTGGCCAGTGGTGAGTGCTCAGCGCACTCTGCCCAAATCCCAGACTGTTTGGGACCCTCCAGGATTCCACGTGCAGTGAAGTGGAGAAGTGGGTTTGAGGCCTCTACATCCGCCTCCCCAACCCAGCTGCACTTGGAGAACTGTGGAGCTTCCAACAAGTAGGTGGGTGCATGCTATCCCCTGAGCCCAGCCTGTTTGGGACTCCTGCACCTCACCATCAGTGTGCAGAGGAGGGGCTGGGTAGATCTGGGGTGCCTGCATCAGCCTCCCCATGTGTCTGGAGGACAGTGGATGTCTCGGCAAGCAGGGGAGGATCGCAGGTTCCAGAGGCACCACGGCCAGTGGTGAGTGCTCAGCACACTCTGCCCAAAGCCCAGACTGTTTGGGACCCTACAGGATTCCGGGTGCAGTGAAGTGGAGAGGCGGGTTTGAGGCGGCTACATCCGCCTCCGCATCCCAGCTGTGCTTGGAGAGCTGTGGAGCTTCCAAAGGGCAGGTGGATGCACAGTGTCCCTGAGGCCCAGCTTATCTGGAAATGCAGAGCTCTGAGCAGGCAGAGGAGGGCCATTGGCCTTGCAGGCCCAGAGGCTTGGGGTAACAGGGTGCCAGAGTCTCAGGAGCTGCAAACATAGAAGGGGATTTCCAACAGACCCTGAGGAAGCTTTCAAATAACACTTGAAACACAGAAATATAGGAAAATGACAAAACAAAAGACCAAATTACAACCTCAAACCTCCAGCCCATCTCAAGAAACCCTAGGAGCAATGTATATAGAAGGAAATATATGCCATTCACCTCAAATATTGGGCACAATAGCTACTGAAATTAACAAGCAACTCCAGGAAGCTTTAAAGAAATTCAAAAATAATCTCCCAGGTAAAAGATGAAATGATAAAAGAAATGAAAGAGACTCTGAATATATCCAAAGAAAACACAGATAAAAAATTGGAGGAACTAAACAAAAAGATAGAATCCCTAGACGAGCAATATAAGAAACAAACAATACATAACGCAGATGCACAGAGATTTACAGGAAATAAAAAACTCCACTGAAAGTTGTAAAACCCGCCTTAATGAAAGTGAAGATAGAATTTCAGACCTTGGAGACAGGATTGCAGGTAGGAACAGGAATGAAAGATCTTTTAAAAATAACAAGGAACCAGGAAACAACAATTCAACGACTGCAAGATGATGCAAAGAAGAATAACATAAGAATGATAGGGATTAATGAAAGAGAGGGAGACAACATGAAGGATGTCAGGAGGATATTTAGAGAAGTAATAGCTGAAAATTTCCCAAGCATGAGATCAGAAACTGACATCAGGATCAGTGATGCACATAGAACTCCAAATAGTCATAACCAAAATAAAACTACACCCAGACATATAATAATCACCATCCCAGAAATCCAGCACAAGAATAGATTATTAAAACCTGTCAGAGAGAAAAGACAGATCACTTATAAAGGAAAACCTATCAGAATCACAGCAGACTTCTCAGCACAAACAATAAAGTCAAGAAGACCATGGAGTGAAGTATCCAGATCCCAAAGCAAAATGGTTTCCAACCTAGACTGATGTATCCTGCAAAACTATCATTCAAAATTGATGGGGAAATACGATACTTCCATGACAAAGAACAGCTGAAGAACTTCATGAACACCAAACCAACACTGCAAAAAATATTGAAACACAGTTTAGATACATAAAGGAAAAAACCACTAAGCAAAGCAGATAATTAAACAGAACAGAAAGATAAAGATGCAACAGCAGAGAGATAACATGCCAACAATAAACCAGCATTTAACAGTAATAACCATTAATGTAAATGGTCTCAATGCACCAATCAAACAAACAGACTAGCAGAATGGATCAAGACACAAAATCCAACCATATGCTGTTTACAGGAAACCCATCTAACCCAGAAGGATACTCACAGACTGAAAGTCAAAGGATGGAAAACAATACTTCATGCAGCAGGAATCCAAAAAAAGGCAGAAGTAGCCATTCTGTTTGCAGACAACGTGAACTTTGAACCAACAATGACCATAAAGGACAAAGAAGGTCACTACATACTCGTAAGGGAGAAACTCCAAGAGGAAGAGATAATTATCTTAAATATATATGTACCAAACTCCAGAACACCCAGTTATATAAAACAACTATTAACAGAAGTGAAAACTCAAATTATCAGTAACACAATTGTAACCGGACACCTTAATACGCCATTGACACCAAGGGACAGATCAACCAGACAGAAAATGAGCAAAGAAATAACAGAACTGAATCACACCTGCGAACAAATGGATTTGATAGACATACAGAATGTCCCACCCAACAACATCAGAATACACATTCTTCTCAGCAGTACATGGATCATTCTCTAAAATAGACCATATATTAGCTCACAGAACATATTTAAACAAATGCAAAAGAGTTGAAATCATCCCTTGCATGTTATCGGATCATAGCGCTCTGAAATTAGAAATTAATGATAAAAGATGCTGCAAAAATCTCGCAAACTCATGGAAACTGAATAACACACTCTTGAGTAATCAGTGGGTCCCAGAAGAAATTAAAGAAGAAATTAAACAATACCTAAAAGAAAATGAAAATGCAGATACAACTTACCGGAATTTGTGGGATGCAATGAAAGCCATCCTCAGAGGAAAATTTATTGCACTGAGTTCCCACGTCAGGAAAACAGAACAAATACAAACAAATAACTTGATGCTACACCTCAAACAGCTGAAAAAAGAAGAGCAAGTCAAGCCCAAAGCTAAAAGAAGAGAGGAAATTATAAAAATCAGAGCAGAAATTAATGCAATAGAGACTAAGAAAACAATCCAAAGAATCAACGAATCAAAGAGTTGGTTCTTTGAAAGAATAAATAAAATCGAGAAGTCCCTAGCCAACCTTATTTTAAAAAGGGAAGAAAAAGCTCAAATTCATGCAATAAGAAATGAAAAAGGTGAAATCACTGCAGACCCAATAGAAATACAGAAGATCATGAACACCTATTTCGAAAACCTCTACTCTCAAAAGTTTGATAACACAGAATAGACAGATTCTTAGAAACATATGACGTACCAAAGCTAGATCAGGAGGATGTAAAACTGTTGAATAACCCAATCTCTGTTAATGAAATTGAAAATGTGATTAAGTCCTTACCTACAAAGAAGAGCCCAGGCCCAGATGGATTCACTGCAGAATTCTACAAGAAATACAAAGAAGACCTAATGCCGACACTCCTCAAACTATTCAATGAAATTGAAAGGGAAGCAATCCTTCCTAAGTCATTCCTGGAAGCAAATATTACTCTAGTACCAAAACCTGAGAAAGACCCAACTAAAAAAGAGATCTATAGACTGATCTCCCTAATGAACACAGATGCAAAAATCCTCAATAAAATATTGGCAAATAGGATGCAGCAAATCATCAAGAAGATTGTACACCATGACTAAGTGGGATTCATCCCAGGAATGCAAGGATGGTTCAACAAACGTAAATCAATAAATGTAATCCACTATATCAATACAGCCAAAAGTAATAATCACATGATCATTTCTATAGATGCGGAAAAAGCCTTCAATAAGGTCCAACATTTATTCATGATAAGAACTTTACAGAAAATTGGAATAGATGGTCTTTACCTCAATATAATAAAGGCCATTTATGACAAACCAACAGCCAGCATCATACTAAATGGCCAAAAATTGAAAGCCTTTACTTTAAAATCAGGCACAAGAAAAGGATGTCCTTTATCACACTCCTATTTAACATAGTACTGGAAGTACTAGCCAGAGCAATTAGGCAAGAGAAAGAAATAAAAGGGGTAAAGATAGGAAAAGAAAAAGTTAAATTATCATTGTTTGCAGATGACATGATACTCTACATAGAAGACCCCCTAAACTCCATTGAAAGACTCTTAGATACAATAAATGAATTCACTAATGTGGCTGGATACAAAATCAATACTCAGAAATCAATAGCATTCCTATACATGAACAACAAAATCACAGAGGGAAATAAGAGAAACTGGACTATTCACATTAGCAAGCAAAAAAATGAAATATTTAGGAATTACTCTTACGAAAGAAGTGAAAGACCTATACAAGGAAAATTATAATACACTGAAAAAAGAAATTGAAGATGATCTCAGAAAATGGAAAGACATCCCTTGCTCATGGATACGAAGAACAAACATTGTGAAAATGGCCATTCTCCCAAAACTATTATACAGATTCAATGCAATTCCAATAAAAATACCATCAACATACCTTATAGATCTAGAGAAATCACTCCTAAATTTCATCTGGAACCAGAAGAGACCTAGAATAGCAAAGGCAATTCTAAGCAGCAAAGACAAAGCAGGAGGCATCACAATCCCTGACTTGAAGTTATACCACAAAGCAACAGTAGTAAAATCAACATGGTATTGGAATCAAAACAGAGCCAAAGATCAATGGAATAGATTACAAGATACAACCACAACTTCAAACACACTCAACCACCTTATCTTTGTAAAGGAGCCAAGCAGGTTCGCTGGAAGAACGACAGTCTCTTTAATAAATGGTGCTGGAAAAACTGGCTCTCCATTTGCCGAAAACTAAAGCTAGACCCATGTCTATCACCATGTACTAAATTAAAATCTAAATGGGTCAAAGATCTGAATATTAAAACAGAAACACTAAATCTATTGGAAGACAAATTGGGTAGAAACCTTCAAGACATAGGAGTATGTAGAAAATTCATGAACAGCACTCAAACCTCACGGGAAATA